GAAGCTCGGTCTGTCTTTTGGACCAAGTTCAACTTTCTTTTTCTAGAAAAATTTTATAAATTGGATCAAAACTTCTGATTTCAAGCCCTTTTATATGTATTAAATCCTGTGACATCTAATTGAAAAGTGAGTAAATTATGGTGTTTGGAGAACTAAACAATAATATTAATAAAATTATAAGAAAGGTACTTCAAAATTTTAAAAGACTGTGAGAAATTAAAATTTATAATTCATTTAGAGTGGGTTTTCTTAATCCAATGTATAAAATATATTCTTAAAATTTATGAAAAAACTATTTTTAGGATAATAACTCTGAGATATTAAAAATTAAAAATCTTGAAAAAGTTTATCTTTGCATTGAAATCAACAATTTTGTATAATTCTTTTAATCTGTTTCAACCCTTTGTGCTGACATTTTATACAACCAATGTACGCACATATATGTATGTATATATTGGAATTTTAACATGTTTTTTTTAGTCAATGGAACTCAAGAGAAGCATAAAACTGTTGGTTTTCTATCTAATGATTCTTTCAACTTTTCTAATTATAAGTATTTTTTGTTATAATTTATAAATTAAACATTTTAAGGAATACAATATTTATTTTCAACTAAATTTTAATCTCCACTTATAAACTAAAACCGAGCAGAAAGGTGGGCGGACGATGTGAAGGAAGAACAGAAACTCATCCAAACAGGGAATGAGAAAGGAAGAAACTAAAATTAGATTTTTACAGTCAATGTTGTTCAGAAGTGGCACAAAGATTCTTCTTTTTTTTTTCCTTCTTAATAAGCATCAGGAGATCAAGTCTGTTCAAGTTCAACCGCAGCAGCCACTTCTCTGAGCAACTGCTCCATCTCTTGCACCCGCTGTACCTTGAGGCCGCCCATAACCGAACTTGATGCCAGACGACTGAAATAATTGCCAAAAAACGAAAACAAGAAGGTTTCTGTAAGTGGATTACATCGTGACTTTCTTAAAATCTCCTCATCTATTCATTACCCAAATTAATTTCTCAAATCAATTTTTTTTTTTAATAGATCCAATAATGACCACAACACCTAATATTTTAAAACTCCACTCCTAGTTATTATGCCATTTTCGAGTTTTACTTGGAATGCAAATACACGGTTCTAACAAGCAGGACATCAATAGCTAATGCACCCATTTGAGAACTAGAAGGACAATAACTTACAAGTTCCTAAATACAAATAGAGATTACGAAAATAAAAATTTAATGTGTGACATATCCAAAAGCTATAGTCTCGGAGATGTTATGGATGTTAACGGTAAAAAGAAGACATTCTACAAGAACTAATAATTAGTTGCTTCCACAATTTGAGAAGGAAACAACCTTGTGAAAGTAAGGATTTGTCAAAAAGGTCAGGCGTGGTTTCCTAATGCAGATTTATAACGGATGACTGACTAGAACCAAGGACATAAAGGTAAGAGCCAATGATGCAGCACTTCCTAACGCTATAAAGTGTCCTTACAACAAAGGGATAGATGATAACTACCTCGTTGGATACATCAATCACGCCTTCCTGAATATTCTGAAGGATCTTTGCAGCAGTCCTGATGAAGGCCTATAAGATAGTTTTTACTATGTTAGCTGAAGGAAAAATTAAACATGTCAAGAAAAACCTTAAGCCAAACACTGATGAAGGCCTAGTCATAAGTTGTTCACGTATATACCTCCTCAACGTTTTGAGCTGTTCTTGCAGACGCTTCCAAGAATAGAAGCCCATGTTCCTTTGCAAATTGCTCACCTTCCTCTTTGCTGACAGCCCTCCGATGAGAAAGATCAGACTTGTTACCGATGAGCATGATACTCATATTGGGGTTTGCGTGCTGCCGAGCATCCTCCAACCAGCTTGCTAGATGATTGAATGTCTCTCTCCTGGATGAGAAAACCGTTTTTAACTTCAGATGAACTGGGACAAAAATTACATGGGTAACAATTTATAGGTACTTTTTAAAGTAATCTACGAGGTCAGCCTTCAAGATTACTGTAAACTGGTGAATAAGCTTAGTGGTTACCAGACAAATTCACACAAAAGAAAGAGCTCAAGCAGGAGAGAAAAATGGTAAGAAAAGCATTACATGTATATATAATACACTTAATTACTGATACACATTGCCTTAATATCCTAAGGATTTCTATTTCCACATCAACCAAGTTAGATGAAGTTTACAAAGCTCAAACTCGACATTGTGGCTTTTAACATTAAGAGAAAGTGGTACAGAGACTTGCACTGACCTAGTTATGTCATAAACCAGGAGTGCTCCAGCTGCTCCTCTGTAGTAAGATCTGGTAATGGATCTGAATGATTCTTGACCTGCCTAAAAGACGACAAATGTCATATTCTTAATGGCACATTGAACTTAGAGGGCGAAACCGTATTTAGTGAAAATCAGAAGAAGAAATTATTAGGAAATGATGGAGTGAATACTGGTTAGAGATGCTGAGATTTCCCGACATCAGATATGAAGAAAGTGAATACATGATTGACTATCAATTTTA